GGCCAGGAGCGGCCACTGCACTCCAGTCTGGGTGACCGAGTGAGACTCCAACTGAAAAAATATATATATAAATGAAGGTTGAAATAAAAACAAACAAAAGCCTCACATCATTTTAGGCATATATATATATCTCGCTAGCCATGTCAGTATAGCAATAAAACTTCTCTTATAACATATATTGTTGGTAATCTCTACTGTTTGCCTCCCCACATTCCTACACATCAACTATCACTTGATCTCCAGCTCTCCTCAATTCTTTCATCCTGATATTTGATGGGAATCTCTAGAAGACATCAGCTTTCTCTCATAAGCGTGGTTCTTTTAGTTTTGCATGACACATGCAGGAGTGAAATTTCCTGCTCTTACTCTGGGTCACCTGCTCTGGGCTCTCCTGTGCCTAGGAAATTGCCATAGCTATCGACAGTTGTAAAATCTGCCTGTACTGTGTCAAGGTTTCCAGATTTGATGCTGATGCCATTAACGCCCATACCAAAAACACTGTTCTCTGATTCCTGCTAAAGCCCAAAGACCTGTGTCTCATCACTGAAGACCTATGTGTCCCAATTATTTGTCTGGGCCCCATCTCCCTCAGACAGAAACTGCACAACATAGCATCAAAGAAAGGTGATTCTTCTCCTGCCTCTCTTCCTCCATTTGTGTGTATTCCTTGGTTATATATGTGCCTAAAATGATGTGAGGCTTTTTGCTTGTTTGTTTTTATTTCAACCTTCATTTTCCCAGAGTTCTGGTACAAGTCTTGACCTATATTTCTCTACCCTTCTCCATTTCACTCCAGTCTATTATACTTAAATTCTTCTTTTGAGACCCAACCCTTTCCTCTCTTAGGACTGGATTCTTCCCAAGAAGTTTCTTAATCACTCACGTAAACAGATCACCTGGTTATTCTAGGTCATGGGTCCTCTCGTTATTCCAGATTTTCCTAAATCCCAGGTAAACATACCATTATTTCAAACATTGGTCATTCTCATATTAGGCCTATATTTCTGGTAATTAAGTTCCTCAACAAACATCCTTTATAAAAAGGTTTTTCAATAATGTGGTTACACATGAATTTTTAAAATTTCACGAATGACTCCAGAATTTCCATCTGGTGCCCATGAGACATTCTAGAGACAATGTATCTGGCTGAACTAGTGCCTCCCTTCTCCCTCATTTCATCAAATATTGTTAAATAGTTCATTAATAAGAAAATATGACTAGCTTGTGATTTGTAATAGAAGTCAGTATGTGTATAAAATTCAGTATTGTTGCTAAATTCCTGTGCTCTATATGAGAATCTTAAAGTTATTTAAAACTTAAACGTTTTAAATTATCTTAAAAATAATTATACCTTATTGTCTATATTTTTAAAACAGGAAAATTGCAAGATACAAGTTTGAAATTTACATCATGTACAAGATGCCACTATTGACAGTAAATTATGATCTAGATAAGAGATATGATAGAGAAACTCACCAAGAGACAAGGCATCTTTTCCATATTAAACAGAATGGGTCTAACCTTTGCTTTCAACCTGCAGACTAGTCACATGACATAGTAAAACAAATGAATTTGGGATAAGAAGGCCTAATTTTACCACTTATCAGTTGTTGTTTAACCATTTTGAATTGCAACTTCCTTGTCTGTGAAATGGGGGCAAAACTCTTTTCCCAACTTAACAAAAATATTGAATAGCAATATTTGTTATTAGCTGAATATTAAGTTCCAGGCAACATCCTACACACCTGAGAAGCTTTATCTCAATCTCCTTCACAACCCTCTAAGGTAAGTAAATTACTATCCTCTTTTTCAGATGAAGAAACTGACGTTGTGAGAGGTTAATTAGCCCACATTCCAGCCACTTGAAGTGAAAAAGTTGTACTTCAGGCTCAGACAGTCTGACTCTGAATCATTGCACTTAACTGATGTGCTATACCTAATGGGAGACGATGATCAAACGCAGGGATGATTTCAGGGTATTAACTCTGAAATCACTGTGGTTATTTTCCTCTGAGATATGTGGCTAAAGCTAGTCATTTCTCAAAAACAGCCACTGCATTCTCTGTAACTGTCAACTGCAAACATTTTTCAGATAAACATGGTAATTTTGTATTTTAAAAATCTTTTAAATTAGCTCAACAAAATGATGTTTTATTCAAATTGCATTATCCACAACTATTTTAATGTTATTGTGTCTTATGAAACCATTACATCTTACAGACCTCAACATATTTATATAATTATAATTAAAGTATACACAAAAATTTGCATTATGCTCATTTCGCCCAATATTAAATTATGAACTTGCTTTATGAATTCACTCAAAAATATTTATTAGCTTCTGCTATAAGCTAAACATCGTCTAGGCTCTGTGGATCATCAGTAAGCAAAGCAGCCAAAATCTTTGCTCTTTTGAGGCATACCTTCTAATAGGAAGAGAGTATAACATATTAATGATGAAAAGTGCTATGAAAAAATAGTAAGGAGGCAGACAGAAACAGGCAGGGTGGTCTTCTAAAATATCTGATTAGGGGAGGCATCTCTGAAAAGGTAATGTTTCAGTAGAGACTTGAGGAAGTGAGTTCTGCAGATGTCTTGGGGAGAGGGTTTCTAACAGTGAGACAGGAAATACAAAGACCTTGAAGCCAGAAGGAACTTGGTGTGTTTGGAGAGCAGCCAGGAGACTAGAATAAACTGGGTGGAATAAGAAGAGTGGTGGAAGTGGGGGAAGGAATGCTATTAGAGTGATCAAATAGGGCCATGTCATATTCTAATTTTATTTTAAATGAGTTAGAAGCCTTCAGAGGGTTTTTAAGAAAAGTACTGACATGATCTAATTTATGGTTTAAAAAATTACTCTGGCTTTGTGCAGAAAATAAACTGTAGGAGACAGAGGAGAAGCAAAGAGATCAGTTAGGACTCTATCGCTTTGACTCGTGACAGAGGTATAGGTGGTAAGAAGTAGTCTTGTTCTGAATATTGTTTATAGGTAGAGCTGACTGAACTTACCAATTGTGGAGCATGAGGGGAAAAAAGGAGGCAAGAAAGATGGCTGGTTTTTTAACCTGAATACATGGAAGAATTAAACTGCCAGTTATGGAGAAGAGATGGAGAAACAGATTTGGGGTAGAGGTGAGTTGGGTGAATTAGAAATAAGGAATTCAGTGTGGACAAGATCCAGTTAGTTATCGAAGTGGGTATGTTAAGGATGCAATTGTATATACAAATCTTGAGGACTAATGAAGAGGTCTTGGATCATTTGAAACTGTAGTTTAGAGGAAGAGACCAAGAATTGAGCACTTGGCTGTTCAACGTATGGATGTCAAGAAGATGAGGATGGTTAAGCAAAGGAGACTTGAAAAGGAATGGGCAATGAGAAGTAAAACTAATAAAGTGTATCATCCTGAAAACTTGAAGAAAGGGTATCAGGGAGGAGGAATGAAGGAATCATCTGTCAAAGATTGCTGATAAATCAACAAGATAAACAGTAGAAATTGACCTTTGAATGCAGCAATCCTGGTTTAGTTTAAGAGGAGCCAATACAGGGAGAATGAGAGGAGAAAAGAGGGATTGGAAACAATATGAACAACTTTCTGAGACCTTTTGCTTGAAAGGAGAATAACAAAAAGGAATAGTAGCTGAATAAGGAGGTCTCTTGGTTTGTTTGGCTTTTGTTTTAGTATAAAAAATATTGCAGCACATTTGAAGGCAGATTAGAAAGATCCAATACAAAGGATGAACTAATAATGATGCAGGGAAGGGAGGGAGAATTAGATAACAATGACCTCCCATTGATGTAACATAATTTACTTATCTTTTTCACTGTTGATATTCAAGTTGCTTCTAATTGTTTACTATAATGTTGCATATAAGATCTGTCGCCTATTTTTTACTGATTGAAATCATTTCTATAAGATAAATTTGCAGGTGGGAAATTACTTGATCAAAAATCACAAACATTTTTAAGACTCTTGACAATGTCTTCTTGCTTTAGAAAAATCAATTCACAGCTATTTGCCAGACCATTGCTGGCACTGCCAGGCTATTTCATTTCTTGCCTTGCTAGACTCTGGTGTGACCATATGCTCTTTGAGCTATGGCTGTCACCATGCTTCCTGGCTTTGACCCCCTCCCCTACCTTGAGGAGATGAATCTCCTCTTTCTCTCTCTCTCTCTCTAATTTACTTTCTAAATAAACTATATTTTCTAATCTAAAAATATTTATCAATTCACCATGCCACCAGTAATGTATAAATGATTAAGTTTTATTGGAATCTTGCTAGAGTTGTGCCATATAACTTGAGGCCATAGTTTATGGAATCCCTAAAGCATTCAACTACTCTTTTTCTAGCAAACTATTGGCACCTTAAAGACAGAGGCAATGTCTTAATTGTTTTTGTTGGCTCCTAAGTTTTAGACCAAATATTTCTCTGATAATAATAATTTCAACATTTATCTGAAATTCTCAGTGTTGAACCATAATGGTGTGCATATAGTATTGTGAGAAAAAAATAATCAGTTTTGGAATCAGATCAACCTGTATTTAAACCCCAGCTTCATTGCTTGCTCTTTAATTTTCCCATCAATAAAAAGATTTATAGTAATCCCTGCTTCTTAAGTCATTTTGAATGTTAGAATGAGATATCTTGTAACGCCCCTAGCACTGAGCAGCAAAATGTGGGTGTTTAAAACAGAGGAATTTTAGAATAATTTTATATGTATTTGAAAACAGTTTATGAACACTTAATATTTTATACAATATAACTTGTGTAGAGCTCATAAAGTTCTCATCTTACGGTTTTGCTAACCACCATAAAAAGAATCCCCATGAATTTCAATTCTAGTAAACTATCGAAACAGCAAGCACCTGGGATATCTCTTGGGAAAACACAGGCTGCTACAGTAGACCTGGGATCAGCAATGTCTCCAGAAATAGTACCAGGCAGTTACCTCCAGGTGACTAAATGAGGCTTCATCTCAGCACACAAGCTAGGAAGCTTTATGATTAGTCCGGCTTGCTATGGTGAGGAAATAACACAAAGACGAGTCCAAATGGAAGTCGAATCCATCACAATATCCAGTCAATTTACAAACAGGTAAGGGAGTCATTCATGATAGGTAAAGTAGAGGGTTCTCTGTGTAATGTTGTAAGGTCAAGAGGGTAAAAATATTAAGATTTATGTCTGCATCTGTTCATATGCATGTGTATAAGTGAGTCAGCAAAGAACCTTTGTGATACCTAGGGAAATATCTATGGCTGAAAAGCCTGAAATTAAAAGAAAATGCTACACAATTATTCAACATATCTTAACTGTAGAGATCTTACCATAATCATGAGTTTCTTGTAAAATTTATAATCATTCTAAAGAGAGTAGAATTATAAATACATTCCCTTGCACAGAACTCAAAAGTTTCATAAAAGATATTGAGTAGAGCAGATATTTTCTCTGTTTTGTTCAGTGTAGTTCCCACTCTGACATTGGGGAAAAGATGACTGCTTGTGTTTATATCTAGAAAAGAAAATTGAGAGTAGTACAGTGGGCTACATCACTAAATCTAGACATTTTTATAATAACAGCATCTTGGGGACCCTGCATTTGCATGCAGTCGTCACTAAAAGACTAGTCCGTATCTTCTATTATAATCGGATGTGGGGGACCAGTGAATGAAGGTCAGGGATATGAGACAGCCCTGACCTAATTCCCAGACGGGGAACTCAGCTTTGTTGTTTTCCTTCAGTAAACCAAGAAACTTATTATTTAACCTTGGTTGTTTTCGTTAAAATCATGGCTATCAATATAAACTATGTATGAATTTATTTGTTAATTTGTGTAGGAAGTGCTATCCTCAGGTGACAAACCTCACAAAGTGTTTAGTTCACATATATTTATTTCAAAAAAGTATGTATTTAGTTTCCACTGTGTCCTAGGCATTGTACAAGGTTCTGGATTCACAAAGATTAAAAATAAAAATTTATTTGAGAGCTTAAAAATAATATAATGATCCTGGTATTGTTACAAAGTTATAGATAATTTTAATTTTATCTGTGGTCCTTGATAATGAATAACAATGTCAAAAATAACGCATCTGGTGTTTACATTCATCTTACTAATAAAATTGGATTAACTTCCTATCTGATTCAATATTGCAGAAAACAGTCATCAAGATGGCCCAAATAAATTATTTGATTCAAGAAGGCAAGCTCTATTTCCCACAAAATGTAGGGCTGCCAGATTGTGTGTGTGTGTGTGTGTGTGTGTGTGTGTGTGTGTGTCTGGTGTGATACATGAGCAGATAATAATGTCAAATGATGGCTTGGCAAGAATTTCAAGGCAGGGTTTAGTGGTTAGCAGTAAGGTTTTTTACTAAAGAGAAAGAAAATTTTTAGTGATTTTCTTTTAATTAGACATTAAAATATATATATACTTTTTGTTAGACATTAAATTAAATTAAATATATATAGACATTAAATTAAATATATATACTTTTTGTTAGACATTAATTAGACATTAAATATATATATACTTTTTGCATATATACTTTTTGTTGTTGTTCACAGGGAATCTTGAAACATATACCTCTTAATATGAAAAGGACTAACCTGTTTAAATCTTACATTTGGCAGAAATTAAAACTTTAAAAAAAGATGTGGCTGCTTCTTAAATCGTGTACACCAAAATTTCTTCCCCTGTAGCATCCACAGTCTTAAATTTATTTTTTATTGCTATTGTTAATTACACAGTTAATAATTGATGCTAGATTGTGTTGTATGAAATTAGCCATTTCTGTATTTAGCTGTAATGAGGAGGAATATATACAGGCTCCTTTGTATTTCTGACCGATACGTGCACTTCCATCTAATAGTTGAATAATTAGATCAGGGATAGAGCAATCCTAATAAATGCCACAACCCCAATCATGTTAAACAACAACAAAGAATCTTACTGTGGGAATTGAGAAGTATTCACAAGATAAAATAGGCACAACCATGCTGCGCATTAAAGTTATGCTGCAGATAACATCACTCAGAATCTTTTCTTTCTAGAAATGAGATGGTCTTGAGGTGCTAATCACCAAAATAACACATTGTACAAAATTATATGCTTATTATTATTTTACCATATCCTTCTACAGATGAAAGGATCACAAGAACACTGACTAAAAGTTATTCCACACTCTGTCTTTATTCATTTTTAGTTATGCAGAAAATTGTTAATTCTCACTGTGACAGAAAAATCAAGATTACTGAGAATAAAAGTTGAAAGGACATTAAATTGTCAAGTTTTTATTTGCATCTCAAAAACACATGCCAATAAACCTCCCTTCATTTTACCATGTTCTAGGGGAATTGTGTAATTCACCAGAAAAGTGAAAAACAGAATCTTATTACAGCCATTGAAGTGAAACATAAACTCCTTCATGGAGGGAGTCAAAATAAAAGTAAATTTATAACATCCTTCTATGGAGCACTGGACTCCAAACCACCCTGTGATCAGACTGATGTTTCAGAGCTCGTGTGGTCTCTCTGCCACCTCATGGCTCAAGGTTTTGCATGTGATCAGCTGCAAAAAAAGAATATATTCCTGTGGGTTGAATATAAGCACATAAAAATAAAAGATAGCTCTCTCCCTATTTTATCCACATTTGGAATAAAGCACCAATTGCCTGTAAAGACTGTTAATTTTTTCATTTTTTAAAAAAGTGGTTTTATATATCTGATAACTTGAGACAATATCAGTTTATGACAAGAAAGCGAAGTGGTTGGGTGTTGAGGGATTATTATTTTGTCCTTGGACATCTATTTCCAAGCATCCCTAAATGCCACTTCAAAGTTATTTTGGTCTCATTTCTTATTGAACACAGCAATGAGAAGTCTCTGTTTTTTTCAGAAAAGCTCTACGAATGGAGCAGTCACAGCTGTGATTAGAGTTTTGTTATTTTGATGGGGCTGGATGTAGAAACCTGAATTTGTCTGACCTCATTTTTCAAGCAACATTTGAGCTTTTGTGCTTATTAGGTTTCTGCCTGGCCCCGATTTCAGCCATTTTTAACTCAAGCTTTGGCTCCTGGGATCTACCTCCATCATGAAAAATATTGAAGGGAAAAAGTAAGAACTGCGAAGAGGCTGCGGGAGAACACACACACACACACACACACACACACACACACACACACACACACACACACACTGCAGGAGAACACACACACACACACACAACGAGAATAACTGAGAAAAATAACATTCAGTACAAGATAGAAAATATAATCGGGGAGGTAAAGATGAAAATTTCTGTTGACTTGAACATATAATAATGAGACTTGAAAAATCCACTTAAAAGCAAGAAACTTGCTATTATATTTGTTTGCTGTACCTAGGATCATATCTGTTTGTAGTTAAATCATGATTTTTTTCTCCTGTCTTTAAAGAACTTTGTACTAATCTTCTGTTCCCTTCTATTTCATCTATAAATATATCTGTAACTTTTATAAAAATATTTTTACAAGTGCAAATGGACACAAAATGACAAAATATAGGAATGATGCCATCATACAAGTATATGGAGTATTATTTTATATTTTATAGATGTTTTGTTTCCTTCAATGAATTTGTACTTAGAAAAGTCAAGACCTTCTCAATTTTATGAGTTTTTTTTAAAAATAGTTTATTACAAGGATAGGGTTTACTTCAAATTATATATAGAATTTAAAGTTCTCAGAACAACGTACAAGATTATTCATTTAATTGCTAAATTTTAAAAGTCTGTGTAAGTGAAATAAAAGATTTTTTCACAAGAATTTTATTAGGGAATGTAAAAAAAGAACACTAATTAAGAGGTAATATTAAAATAGAGGACAGAGATTAATGAAATGAAGAAACAACTAGTTTATAAAAAGCTTTTCAAGTGAGGGATTCTAATCTGAATCACTAAATTTGTTTCTATTTTAATATTAAAATTTAATTTGTAGTGGTAAAAAAGAAGAAAAAAACAGATGAATATAGATTTAATTCAACATCTTTTTTTTTTTTGAGTTGGAGTCTCACTCTGTCACCCAGGCTAGAGGGCAGTGGCACGCTCATGGCCAGCATAGCCTCGACCCACTGGGCTCTGGCAATCCTTCCACCTCAGCCTTCCAAGTAGCTGGAACAACAGGTGCGAGCCACCACACCTGGCTAATTTTTTACTTATTATAGAGATGAGGTCTCTCCAAGTTGCCCGGGCGGGTCTCGAACCGACAGGCTCAGGCAATCCACTCACCTCTGCCTCCCAAAGCACTGGGGTTACAGGCTGAGCCACCGAGCCGGGCTAATTCAATATCTTTGAAGAGTCTTCTGCACAATTTAGGATTTGGATTGCATGTTCACAGCAGCCGTGGAATGAAGGGCAGGATAGAGAGTAATCAGAAGCAGAGATTCTGAAATCAAAGGACAAGCTCATCTTAAAAGTTGTTATTTTGACATTCACCTTTGAATATATATTCTCTCCAAAACCAGATACTATCTCTTTAGCAAAATCAAACTGTTTTGACCACTGCTTTTTCCTGAGGCCTAGATTTCCAGATTGACTTTTGATTAAAGTCAATGATAAGTGTAAAAATCACTAAATGCAAACACTCCAAACCCAGCTAGGCCATTCCTTGGTATCTTGATATTAGTACTATTCCTGTAAATAAGTTCAAAACCTTCATTTCATCAATAATGTTGCTAATACACTTCCCCTTGCACTGAATATCCAGAGAAGCAGATTATTAAATTAATTGCTTTCAACATCAATGTGTAGTAAACACATATCTTTAAGAAAAGTTTACTGAGTGCGCTTTATCTGCCAGTTCTAGCCATTCTGTATCTAATTGCTCACGTAGTTCTCACATATACTACAGTTACCATTCCTGTCTGACAGATGAAGAAAGTGAGGTTCAGAAAGAATTAATATTTGGCTAAGGTCACTAACCTTGTGTATGAACCTTAATCTGCTTTACTAGCCCCATGGTCTTAACTAAAATTATTTGGCAGTGTGGCAAAGTTTATTTGGCATCTGCTCACCTACTTGCAACTTCCAAACACAAACACAATTATTTTGTTATGTTGTGCTCAGTC